CTCTGAGAAAACTGCCAAGGAAACCCACTGCCATTCCCAGCACTTTGCATATTTCTCTTTTTGTGGAAGTTTGCTGTAAATATTTTCTCTATTAAAAGTAGTTGAGTTTTCATACTCTCTCAAATATATTAGTTGTTCAACAACTGATTCCTTTGGAGTTTTAATCAAAAAGTCAACATTTATATCATAAAGTAATGTGTACTGCTCAAATACATAACTTGTACAGATTTAGCAAAATATTATGTATTTAAAACAGCTAAGTTTAAGTATATTGGATGAATGCAACCAAAATGCAGACTTCATAGCTAGAGTTTTATCAGAACATTCTACTGTTGTGCTTTCAATACGTGAAACAAAATAATAAAAAAATGCATCCATTCTTCTTTTAAGGCAAAATATTAGTATGAAGATCAGGAAAGCCAATGCACAGTGCATTTATGCAACCTAGTTTCCTAGAACCAAATCTTTTTGGCATCTCCATCAAATCTTTAAAGCCTTCTGACAACAGAAGCTTCCTGCTGGAAGCGCACATCTTCCAGTCTACCCAGAGGACATGTCAGAACAATAAGAAAAAGAACCAATCTTACTTTTTAAGTGGAGGAGCAGCAAAAAACTGAGGTAGAAGACGAATAGAGAGTTAATTCTTGAATGAGCCATGTTCATCCTGATGGGACATCCTCTGACAAGTTGTCTCTTCTCCAAAAGGCTGGTGCTGATCCTCACAGCTTTCTCCTTATCTCCAGCACTGAGGTGCTACCAGCAGCACCGAGCCCACCACAGCCCATCGTTGCCTGTGGCCCTCAGCAGCCGGCTCCCTGCAGACTTTGATTTGGAAGGCAGTTGTTCTTGTTAAGGTTTTACTTCAGCAGGTCCGAGTGATTTTTCAAACCTGGTGCAGATTTGTGTGCGAGCCGGACTGGAGTCTTGCCCGGCTGTCAGCAGCGGGAGCGTCGCAATCTGCGGTGTGTGGCTGGCAGGGCAGGCAGCACTCTGTGCTTGGAAAGATAAAGAGCCTCGTGCATCATCTTCTGCTAAAGCTCCATTACATCGCGTTCCTTCTGATTCAGAGTATAAACCCTTCGTGCCTTTTCACATACAGTCTACTAACAAACACTTTGTGTTTTCTGCATTTTTTTTTTCTGTATCATACCTCATTAGCAGATGAAGTAAAAAGATGAAACAATCCCATTTTCAGTCTTTTTTGCAGTCATTTATTACTTGATTATCTTCCAGAATCTTAGTTAGTTAATTTGTTTGCTGGGGGGAGGGGAGGGGTCGTTGTGGCTTTCTTGTTTATTTTGTCTTTTAAACTGCTTTTAGTTTGTTTAGGGGGGTTTTGTTGAGGTTATACAATATACAGTACAATGAGGGTATACAATAAACAATTGTTTATTTTGTCTTTTAAGCTGGTTTTAGTTACTTCTGTCATCTTTTTTTTTTTTTTTTTTTTTTTTTTTTTTTTTTTTTTTTTTTTTTTTTATGAAATAGTATAAAAAGTGGGAGCTGATATCAGGACCTGCTCTCTCATTGTAATTTTGAAGTAGGGAGGCCTTTCATTTGCAAAGTCAGGGTAAGGCAGAGTAAGATGGATAAGGGAAGGGGATGGTGCCAGGGGCCAGACCACTTCTTTCTGGCCACATCTGCCTTCAGTCAGCCCAGTGATGCAGCAGGAGCCTCCCCCCGGGCTGCTATTCCTTCCTTGCTGCACTGCACAGGCACAGGGATGCCCTTTCTGCCCAAAGGTGCCTGCGTGTCTGATGCTCTTCAGCTGACCTGCAGCTTTGTTCACAGAATGCAACTGTATCATGTAAATGTGTGTGCTGATGTTTAAGTTCAATAATCTGAGTTGCCTTTTTAGTCAAAAGAGGATGCCAAAGGAGCTGCTTTTTCATCCTGCTTGAAACTTCGCTCTGTCTTTCTCAATGCCTATTTCAAATTTTTCTTCTTTCTCATGAGCGATTCATATCCCAGCCCTTTTAATGATGAGCAGACTACATTAACTTACCACTGCTCCAGTTCCTAAAAGTTGCTGAAAGAGAAGGGTTTGAATTTCTGCAGTGTTGGTACTTTGTGAACATCGTTTGCATGCAGCAAAATGTAACATCCAAATGTATTTTTGATACTTTCTCAATATCTCTTCATTTTGATGAGATTCTGCAGTTAAATAAGTTGTAGGCTGTGCCACTTTCTCAGAGAAAAGGTCTTGTGTTGAACATTCTATTTTACCTAAGTGCTGCCCTTTCTGTTCTGATTGCTCCTGTTCTGATTGCAATAATTACAGCGCAGTGTGGTATCAGACTACACTCACCAGTGTGGTGTCCTCTGAAATATTTTGCTGCATTTCTGGCAGGCAAACTTCATCATCTAACATCTTTTGTTGCCTGATACAAGCACAGTTTTCAACTTTCGATGACAGCAGCACTAATTAATGGCGTGTCTTTTGCCTGTCACTGCTAGATGGTGAGATTGCTTACTCGTCCCATTTAAAGTGCAATTTTTATTAATGTGATTCTGTGCCTTCTAGGCCAAATACAATTACAGGTGATTTTCTTAAGCAATTAATCTTTTCTAGTCTGCAAAATGCTGCAGTATTTTTTAATCTAAACTCTAAAGTGAACAGAACTAATGAAGCTAAATATTCCGTATAAAATGTAAAATTCCCTTGAAAGGTGATGCAAATTTACAAACCATTCATAGCTGATTAACCTGAACTTTTTTTAGTAGGTGCTTTTTGGTCATTGGCAATGAAAACACTGGCAAGTAGTCAGAAGCAGATGGATGATTTCATGGAAGAGTGAAACAATGATACAGATAATGTTGCCTAGAGAGACTCTGTGGATATGCAAAACTTGGTGGCACAAGGTCCTTCCTGGGCAAGCTGTTTGAGCTGGGCCTGCTTTGAGCAAGTGGATGGACCAAATTTCATCACAGTTATGTGCTGCTGTTCACTGTTGGTAGAATTTCACTTTCTGAAAAACCTGTGAAACATGAGGGCATGAAATCATTCAGTGAAGTCCCTTGGGCCTTCAAACCACTAGCAGACTTCTCAGCCTACACTGATTCTCTCATTCAAGCTGTCCTGTTGAATTCAGAGATACATATGGAAGATGCTTCGTGGCTCGTATGAGAAAAATGAGCAGAATGTAATCTGTAGAACTATAGCTATGTCTAAGGTTGTGACAGATTTATTTTAAACCGCACATTTTTAAGAGAAAAGCAGTAAAATTATATTTATCTCCAGGTGCCCCCTGTATGAATTTAAGAGCATGTATAGATACTGTCATCATTATTGGGGCATTAGAACGTGTTTCTTATGAACTTCTTGGGAACTCAGGATAATGGAGCCTGTTAGAACAATGCATCTGACAGTCCATCTTCCTGTTCATGATACTGGTACCATCTTTAATAAGCACAGCTTACATTATGTTTAGATTGCAGTTCTTAAGATGATTATGAATGGACAAACCAACATGAATAAGGCTAAAGAGAGAGCTGTATTGTAATAGGAACTTGTTTACTTCAATAACAAAACTGCTATAGATCCATTTGCATTTTACTTAGGCATCTTGCATCAAGAACAATTAATTATATGTGTGTGGATTTCACACAACACTTTCAAAGTTTACTGTCTTTAAGATGCATTAGGAAATTTCTTTGGCCAGAGATGCTTTTCCAGAGATAAATTTTTTATAATTACATTTAACTTAGGTTAGTCTGTGAATATTATCTTTGAGCTTCCCTTTTTTTGCTATTAGCATGTACCATTATTTTTTATCTCCTTTGTGAAGTCTTGCTTTGCTCTTTTGCTCCTCCTTGGCCTGAGCAGAACACATCCTACCAGAAGACCCAGAGAGAGCATGGCCTTTCTATTTTACCAATGTGCAGATTATAAACAGTTTGATGAAACTAAAGGGTTGTATTTTACAATGCAAAATATTTTGCAAGCTCTGCCTAGCCTTCTGCTTCCTTAGACACAATATACGTTTTGATGTTATGAGCACTTCATTGCTTTTCTGTTTTCCACATAGACATCTTCCAGCAAAGTAATCTGGGATTTCTACCTGTTAACATGAATGAACCAGAGATTACAGAATTGTCAAGCCAATTCACTCAGATAAATCTTGTTTGGGTTGTGACAGAAATGGTGGGAGCAATGATCCAGCTACTGCTCTAACAGTGTATTCAGCCACAGAACTACAAGCTGTGGTTGCTGGCAGCCAGTACATGCTCCAGGTCAGCCACTAGTCCAGGGCCTGCTGTTCAAATCATTGCATTTCTGGAGAGGATTTTAAGCTGCTTTGTTTGGGTTGGTTTGTTCGTTTGTTTACATACAGAGCCTCTCCTGAGTATTTTACACTGAGCCAAAACAAATGATTCTGTAAGGAACTGCAGGATTCCCCTGGGACTTGCAGAGTTCTGTAGCGTGTGATTCACTTACCTCCATGTTTGATGAAATTTGCCAAATAACATCTATTTATTGTAAAGTGTGTGGCTGATACCACCAGGGAAGCAGTTCTACTGGCAGATGAATACGAGGTCGGGCCTTGTCAACGCAGATGAAAATTTGCAATTAGTATTCTGTATCTTTCTGCTAATGGACTGTCTAATCAGGAAGTTTGTCAGTACCAATAATCTTCCTGTGAGCTCCACGGTTACAGGAGTACTTGACAAATGAAGCAAACAGTGTTTTTACAACAGCACTGCTATGTTAAGTGCGAAATAGGTTGCAAATTTATATTTTACCACTATGCTTTTCACTCTAGCAGAATAGATATGTTGACTACTGCAATTTGCAGGTAGAGCAGTTAGCAATGGAAATGCAAAACACAGTACTCATCAAAGAGAAACAGTTGTAACAGGAAAATAGAGAAGTTTCTTACTTTTTCCTGATCTCTAATATCAATTTTTTCCCCTTTTTTTCCATTCAGTTATTATTGTATTGCCAATTTGCAACAACGTTTTTAAAAACATCTGATGATTTGAGGCTCTTTAATTTACAGGTTACCAGTTGAAGGATGTGACTTACAGAAAGTGCAAAGCAAAACTTCCCTGCAGGCATCTCTGCAGTATCTCAGCATGGGTCTTGGCAAGCATAAAATTCCTCTTGAAAATCTTGGCCTCTGTGCTAAAGCATTGGATAATATTGTAGTAACAGTAGGTAGTAGTAAGTGCCCCAAAGGGATATCAAGTTCCTACTAACTATTGGTTAAGACAGCGTTCATCTTAATGCCAATGCACTTTTTATAGGCTGCACTTCTGTACCAAACTACATTCTGAAAGACTGTCAGTTTGAATTATATTGTTCACAAGGTAAAAATGAAATATTCTGGCTTCCAAACTTGTGTTGATTTAGAATATTTAACACCTATTTTATTCACTAAGGGTGACTCTGATTTCAGTGACAGGGACATACATGTAGGTGACATGATGTCACCCTGTTCCCATACCAGTCAAAGGAAAACATCCCCTGGATGTAGATGACACAGCTGGACCTCCGAGCATCATGTTGGATGTGATGGGGCAAAGAATGGGTATTACTCTTATAATTTATCTATGTTCTGGCAGTATCCAGAGGCCAACTTATATCACCAGGCGATTTGTTGCTGACTTCAATCCCTTAACTGCATCTTAAATTTTCTGGGGGGGAAGGGAGGATATGCTGATATTTTTGCACATGCTGAACTTTATCTTGTTTTAGGTATCAAGATTTCTTTTGGTAAAAAAAAAAAAAAAGAAAAAAGAAAAAAGAAAAAGTCATTTTTATTAGTAACTTCCTCCAATACAGCTGTGGTTACTATGTTTTTTTGTGCCACCAATAGCTGCTGAGAGATTTTTTGTCTTAGAATCCATGACTTTAGCAGCTGTGTTCACCACACACTGCTTTGTGGAAATCAGACTTCTCCCTACAGGACTTTTGAAGACTTTTGCCTCAGGTCCTCAGCTAACCTTCAGGAATAACACATGCTTAAATAATGGTAGGTGCTGAGCTCTTCTGAAGATGTTGTCCTGAATGTTGCTAAAGAGTAGAAATGAATTGTAGTTTAAAGACACAGTTCATACAGCTCTCTCTTTTCTTAAATAAGATTAATTAGAATGAGTGATGCAATCTGTGGCAGAATCTGACCACTGAAGAAGGGGTCAAATGAGCCATGTCAACCCTGACCAACTCCACTCAAGTCAGACTGCAGTATTAATTTAATGAAGTAGATTATTAAAATGTCTGTATACAATGCTCTCTTTAAGTAAGGCGAGAAATCAATATCTCAAAGTAAATTATTACTCTGAATTGCATTTTGATGTGATCATTACAGCTGGCTAACTTGTTAAGCTATGGAATTAACTTTCTGAGGGCCACGCATGCAGAACTTAATGTACATGCTGTTTATTAGCAGCTGTGGAGACCAGTAGTCTGATAGACTGCACCATTTGTGACCGATTAACATGATTCTGTAACAGATTCTGTAACGATCTGGCATTTATTTAGGACCACATTCTTCTATGTTTCAGAAGTCCCACTGATTCTGAAAGTAGCTGTTGTTCTTGTAATTCAAAATGGGGAAAAAAAAAAACAAAACAACTTTTGTACCTGGACAAAATCTCACAGGTTCTCTACTGATGGTAAATAAAATGTATCCACGCACATTTATGCACAAAATTAAGCACAAGTAGCTTGGGCTGTATGCTACTGTCAATGGGAATTGCTTTCCAAAAACTGAGCAACAGTATGAACATATGCTCATCTCTCTCAACAATACAGTCTTTGAAGCCGTATGAGGGAGCTGATGAGGGATTTTTGTAGCCTTTTAGAAGGAAGAGGTGGGTTTTGCTTGTTTGTTTTAATGGTCTTCTATTCAAAATTTTCTGGAAAAATGTTTTGGCGATTTTAAAAATATAACCTTCTGGCTCATTGTTTTTTCCCCTCTGGGCAAGTAAAATAATTTTTCAAGTGCTTTCAAAAATTTGAAAACTAAGTTAAGATTCCTCCAATCAAACCTTTCAATTAATCCAAGCCACTTCTTATGTGAAATATTTTCAGGGTAATAAAGATTTCACTCTTTGGTTTACCAAAAGGAAAGTATTTTCAGAAAGAAAGAGAAGCATCTCACTTTTATTTGGAAGTATCTTCTCCCTGTCTTGATTCGAATGCTCTACTGTAAGCCAAATTTTAAAAATGCTCATAAGAAGAAAGGTGTTAGCTGTGGATCTTTAAGAAGGGCACCCAGGCATCTGTCAGCCCTTTCACCACCAGAACAGCATCTGTGGGTGGGACTGGTGACACAGCACTACTGTTAACAACAGAAGTGTTGCACAGAAGTTTGCACTTCAAAACAATCTGAGAGAATTCACATTCATTCTTCCAGAAGAAATGCTGCTAGCCTTTTGTTTAGAAGTGATACAGTGTTGTGTGAATTTTTCCTAATAAAATAAAACTAAAACCTGGTTGTTCCCATCAGCCTTTTTTACTGGGGAAGTATACTTTCTAAAATGAAATAACATCAACCTTGGGAAAATAAGTAGCCGCAGTGAAAGAGACATGTACAACTGTCCTGAATGCCAGAATGCACTGAAATGGATTTAGACTCAGCAATATCCCAAGCAGCATGCTGTCTTGGTACATTCTTGTTTGTTTCATTTTTATTTTAATTTAGGAATGTCATTGTAACAAGGTGATTCTTACAGAACTGTTCCATACTGTTGTGCTTTGGAATTAAAGAACTGTTGTGCTTTGGAATTAAAGAATGATGCCATTATACTGCTACTGCATTTATTTTGAAGTTTTGCATACTCTGCTGTTTCTTGTTTTGGTTATTTTTTTAAATACCTTTCCTGTAGAGATTTCCTGTGCAAACTGCTTTGGCTGTTGGATGCATATCGGATCACTATTTAAGCAGAATTAATTAACATTTTTCTTCTATACTGCTTGCTTGCACAATGAATATGGTAACTACTCCTTTTTTGACTGAAAGCAGGTTTGCTGTTTTGGGTTTTTGGGTCCTCACTTATACCCTAGTGATGCTTCAGAAACAAATGTAATACATTCATTATGTAGCTTTTTTTTTTTTTTAATCATAATGTAAAGTAATACAAGACATAAGCTTTCTAACAGCAGCCTTTCATCCTGACTGTAAGTGAAGTGGCTGTGCATCATAGCTTATGTAAGTTGGGTTCGGGTGAATGAACACACACAGCTAGAAACATTCATATAACCCTAAAACATTCTTCAGTTTTTAGAATTGGATGTCTCTTGGGGGGAAAAAAAAATGTGTTGTAAATTATATATACCCTTAACTTTGTGATTCAATATAAAGAACAGCTAAAAATTACATGGATCGTGATTAGGGAGAGCACAGAATAGCACTGTAATCTCCTTCTACACCTTGAAACACCTTGCTTCTATAACAGAGATGGATCTGGATTGCCTGACAACTGTAACCATGTGAGGGCTCAAGACAAAGGAAATGAGAAGGGCTCTGAAAAGCCCCAATCAGCACTGAGCTGATAGGCCTGTCTGACTACATTTTACTTCTAGCTGTCCTTGTAATTACATACTGGACATTATCAGGGGACAAAAAGGCTTAAATAATGTTGGTAATTTTGTCAGTTTGACGTGCTGCACTTCTAACAAAATACCACTGTCGTCCTTCTCATTTTTTTTTTGCCCCAAATTCTGTTTTCTGCCAGGCAATGCAAGTGTAGTGCAACTGTGTGACTGAATGGTTCAAATACCACAAAGCATCTGTCACATCCAGGCCAAGCAGCCACAAGTTGGCTCTCATTGCACAACAGGTGCTGCGTTACTTGTATAGCAAAAGTCTTTTGGGAGCCTGTAAAAGAATTCTGTTCTGATATCATGGAGAGGCATGTGAAAGAGCTGCTTTGTGGAAAGAAGCATTACTATTTTATATGTAATTCAACATGTCGTTTATGTCCAGGCAGAAGTAAACTGCATGTGTTGCTGCATACTCTGAACAAGCTATGCTGGATAACTGACGTGGGGTATTTAGCTCATGTGAAACTTAGCATTAACATGGATGGATTGCTTATAACATTAAAGACAGGGCTAATTTAATCTTATTATAAACTTGGTATTCAAAATGAACTAGTTCTGTACCTTTTCCTTTTGCTATTGCAAGCAATGCATTCTTTAGACCCTGGAGGGCCACAACTCAGTAATAACCTGAACAAGAACTGGCCTCGGCACACTCAATGCCTCGTTTATTCAACTCTGCTGAATCCTTACAGTAAAATATTTAATCCCTTGGTGCATCGGTCTATTTCTACGTCAAATATGCCCTCAAGTTTCAAAGTAACATAAGAGTTGGAAACTCCCTATGTCTTTGCAGGAGTACTAGATAAAGGACGTAGGATCCTAAGTGTAAATCAGCACAAGGCCTTCACATGAGACTTTTCATGGCAGAACTCTGAACTTCATGTTCTCTATAAACCTGAAGAGCTAGTCTGACCCTCAGATTTCCACAATGAGAGAGAATATATATATTAAAAGACTACTAATTTTTAAAGAAAAGCAACTACTTTTCTTAGGGGTGAAAAGCAATGTCTATGGACAGCATGGAGAGACAGAGACGAGAAAGGCTCTGACTCTTATTCTATAGCCAAACAAACACCACCAGGTCTGAATGCAAAAAAACCACTCCAATTACCTAGCACTTCTACCCAATGATTTAATTGGGCCTGTCAGCTAGGGATAATTGGTTTCTGGTTGACTGAAAAAAGTGACAGTGACAACAGCTCTCTGCTTCCCTTCATTACTGAAATTCTTGCACTATATCAGGGCCTCAGCACACAGGGCATTCCTGCAGCACTTACAGGTCCCTCGTTGTGCAGGGCAATGAAAACACAGCAATGTAAGACACGCAGAAAACATTTCAAGCTGTTTACCACATAGTTTTTCATGATGCAAGGATTTTTGAGCCAAGGTTATTTCTGTAGAGTGAAGTCTGGTTTTGCTTGTTTTACTGGAAATTTGATAGTACTGTTGCAGCTGTGACAGTCCAAGGCTATAAACAAAGCAAAGTTTATAGGGAGAGGCAATACCTTCCATTAATCCAGCTGATATCACTGGAAAAATAAAGATAA